TAATGTTTCTATCAGAATTCAGCCTATCCTTTAGTTGTCTATCTAGATTTTTGAGTCCAAGTGTAGCTTAGAATCAGAGATAAAGAAAATATTGCTTTCACCTACATTTTCTTTTGTTGCATTTATTTCATTCACTACATCTAGGCTCTTAAAAGCTTTGTGAATGCAGTGATAGGAGAGTATGCATTAGACACTTGTATATTTTTTTAATTCTCTTTTTTATGGAAATCAGATGGGGAATCAGTACATTTTAATTTTTTGTGATTTCTCAGTACTCTTTAGTTGTCAACTTAAGACATTAGGTTTTGTATCATAATAAAACAATCAAAATAATTAAGAGATGCTTAAAAACAAGAAAGAACAAAAAATAATTCATCTTATTTCAGAATATGTAAAGATGAAATTCGAACTTAATTTTATCTTTATAACTTTTTTATATCTTCTGATTTCACCTGAGCTATATTTTACATTACAAGAACTTAATAGAAAAATAAATCTTAATTTCTAATTCAGACTGTTACTGCCTAATTTACTTAAAGTAAGTTTTATTCTGTGTTCTGCAAGAAGGCATCAGCATGTCTCTTGTATAATAAGTCATGACACTGAGCATACTTGCACAGTAAATGGTTCTGTATAATAGACAGTGTTATGTGCCTAAGTACCCATGAACAGGTGTTAAAATTGGAAGTATGTGAAGTATTCTTTCTTGGGGAGGAAATAAAGAGTTATCATTAGCAAACTCTTCAGGTGGAATAAGGGTTAGGTTTCGTTGGCTATTTTTCTTTCTTTTTTTTTTTTTCTTTCTTTTAGCTCTGAGCCTCAAATCAAAGTAGTGAAATACGTGTTGATTGAACCTTGCCAGCCTCAGGATTTCTAGAAACCTCTTCCTGATTACTTTTACTACTTTTTATACCATTATTTCTCATTAGCAGCCTACATATTTAGATTTTAAAATCTTTTATTTCTTGATTTCCTAATGCATTATATCACCAACTTGCAATGTCTGGCTGCTTTGGGATTAACATTTGTGTAGGGATGTATGGTGCACCCATGAATAAACCTATCTCCATAGTCCTACCTACTAAACAGTTCTGAATAACTTTGTACTAATTCTTGTCTCTCAAATTCACATTGTTTCTAACTCTAAACCTGATATAATTTTCTCCCTATATATTTACTATATCTTATTTATCTAAATTGTCTTCAATGTGAACTATAATAATTGCTGAACCCTGTCCAAATTCACATTGTTTCTAACTCTAAACCTGATATAATTTTCTCCCTATATACTTACTATATCTTATTTATCTAAATTGTCTTCAATGTGAACTATAATAATTGCTGAACCCTGTGGACATAGACAATGTTGGGGAGAAAAGGGTCAGGGGAAGAAGTTCCAAGGATGAGTGGTCAAAGAGAATAGGAATCCTAAGAAAATATGGTGTCCAAAAAGGAGAAGTAAAAGTAAATTTCAAGTAGGTAATATTCAGAACAGCTGAGTATGTGAAAATGTGGGCATCTCTTAAGAAAAATAACATTTTTTATCAAAATGGTCTCAATTTTCTCTCATCTGAGGATATACTTATTATATAATAATACTTATTTTTTCTTGCATATATACTATCCACTTCTCCAAATCCAAACCAGTTTTTATTTAGTAAAGTTATTAAATGTTTAGTATTAGTTTTAACATTAGTTTTAATTAATTAATTTTTATTTATTTATTTGTTTTTATTTTAACTTCTCAATATACATTGTAGTTGATTTTTAGGTCCCTTTACCCATTTCTCTTCCCCCCCCCATTCTTCCCTCCCCACCATATCATACCTTTAACATGTTAATTTTCTCATGCCTTTCAAATATATTTTCATATTATTATTGCTTATTAACATTTTACATATTAGAAGACTAATGTATGTGAGAAATGTAAATGTATAAAGTGAGTTACTTCTATTTAAATTTATCATGCTTATATTTATATCACTTTTATTCTTGGATATGTTTCTCCGTGATGTTTACTTTTGTATGTATCTGCTTTATTATTACAGAGTTTTTGATATTTGCTCATCAGAATGTACATTTCTATGGCTCTCGATATTATTCTGTGATTTACTAAAATCCCTATAAATAGATATGATGTGATTTCTAGTATTATCACAAATTGATTTGAGATGAAGAATAACCTATTAATTACTTTTATTTGCCTAAATTGCCTAATTAATGATAATTCAATCATAGTAAATTTTAAAATTGATTTTTCAAATAAAGTCATTGAACAACCAAAAGATAGTTTATATCTTACTCATGTGTAATCTGGTGTTTCCTAATTTCTACTGTAACCCTTTTCTCATTAATTATTTAGTAAAAGTATTCACATATTTCCAGTGATGGTGATGAAATACCCTTAGGGGAAATGTCATTACCAAACTTTGTTGCACTGTACTATCACCAGAAATAAATTACAGAAGGAAAATACTGACATCCTTTTGAAAGAGTCATTGGACAATTTGGTGATCAAATTAAATCAGCTTCGAGGCATGACATAGAAATCAGTTGATCCAGGAACTGCTCATTTCAAAAAGGAAAATATTTCAAGAACACATATGTTATCATAATGTTTTACATAATACAGTGTATCAGAACTGAACTTGAAGGCTGTCCTTTGTGCTTTTTATTCTACAATAGTTACACCTACATTTGTATTGCTTTAAAGGTTCTCTAGTTCCCTAGAAGAAGATTTGCCACCCACTGAAGTCTCAGTAACTAAGCCAAAATAAATACATTTCAGAGGAAATGACACCCAGTTTTCTTTCTCATTTTTTTTTCTTTTTTGCATTTCAGGGACCTGACAACTGTACAAAATGTTCTCATTTTAAGGATGGCCCAAATTGTGTGGAAAAATGTCCAGATGGCTTACAAGGGGCAAACAGTTTCATTTTCAAGTACGCAGATCAGGATCGGGAGTGTCATCCATGCCATCCAAACTGCACCCAAGGGTAAGCATCCCTGTTGGCCAAGGACTCACTCAGCCTTGTATGTGTTACTAGTCAAAAGGTATACACATGTGTCTTTATCCTGGATACTGTCTCCTAAGTGTAGACTATTCTTACAGAACCCTATCTTTAATATGTTATTTTAAGAGAAATTCTTTCTAAGAGAATAGTTTAAAGAATCAAATTTGTTCCCTTTGTAATATTTCTGCTTAACATTTACCTATCACCATTCTATTGACATCTTTATGAAGCTAGTGTCAAGTATACTTTGGATGCAGTATAGAATGTTACTGGAAATTCATGATATCAGAAAAGACAAGGCAGTGATTATGCTTTTTAGATCTGTGTTTATTAAATATTCAACAGAGGTTTTCTGTTTCTGTATCTTTGTGGTCACAATCAGCTTAAAGTGGGGATATGTCTCTTTGATAAATGTATTACTCCTTCAACAAAATATGAGCAAAGGAGTGATGGCAGGAAAAAGGGGGAACCTAGGGATATGTATATTAATAGACTAACTACTACATTTTGTGAAAGTAATTTTGTTACAGGCTATCTTAGAACCTAGAGTTTCTTTGGATGATATAGGGCAATTCAAAGATTGTTGCATGTTTTTCTATTTTTTCAAAAGGATGCATTGTGCCATGTATAATAATTAGATATTGATAACAGTTGAATAACACATTACAGAAAGAAGAAAAGCAGTGAATTGCAAAAATAAAATACATAATATCACTCATGTAATGAATTCCAACTATTTCTTAAAAGACAATAAATCTAATTTAGTAAGGATTTTTCTTTTTCTTTTCTCCAAAGGATGAATAATTTTCAAACTTAGAGCAGCTTTACATACTCTATCGTCCTCCCATCCATAAAACCTCTTCTCCCTTGTGTGTGCCCACAGGCATGTGCACATACAACAAACAAACACACACTTGTTGAGAATCATCCTGGGTACTTTATTTCTGGCAGGAAAGTATGACACTCCATAAAAAGATTTTCTGCCAGATTAAGGACTAGCTGTTAGGGGATATTGAAGAAGTTAAGCAAGCAACATCATTTCCTGCCAAGAAAACATCAATTTGCAGATGCTGCTACAGTTTCCTGCAGGTCAAGAAATCAGCTTAAGTCACTCTGTGAAGTGGCAGATCCTCGAAAGGTAAAGTAATATTCTGCCATTCAAATTCAAATTCAGCTGGAAAAGCTAACTGCCAACTCATTGGTCTAAACATAAGCACATAGGTTGAGGATACTGAGATAGTCACATAGACACTTTGCCTCAAGGAAACTAGAAGTAATAAACTTCTCCCCTTGTGAGTTTTTAGCACACTTGAGTTGAGTATTTCTTGAAAAAAACCACTGGTACTGCTGGAGCAGAAGAGTCAGCAACAGAAAGAGAAAACTTTGCCTGCTAAAATCATCCACAAGAGGGTTTTATTGTTTTGCAGCTAAAATTAAACCAGTAAATTATTCAATATAATGTTGATGTCAACAGCTGTTGCCATTCAAAATGAGACCTTTTGCTGTTTTTGCAAATCTAATTACAAGGAAGCCATTAGGGAAATGAAAGTGAGATCTCAGAGCCATAGTATGAATGTGTGGCTGGTGTGTCTTCCTCTCAGCCATTTTAAATCATGATTATATAATAAAGGAAAACATATATCGGGGGAAATAGAAGTGGGGGGGTCCATGAAAAGATATCAATTTACTGTAGTAACAAAATTTGGATCTCAGCCAAAAAGGATGAAGGTGTAATAGGGAACAAATCTCGGAACTCCAAGTAAATAGAAAGAAGATGCCTTTAGCAACTCACGGCTGCAGAATTATGGTGAGACAGAATTTGAATATTGTTCTCCCCAGCATCTTCCAAGGTAAATGCGTTCTTTACTGACTGACTTAGTCCTGAAGGCTTTTCGTTTTTGTTTTCATTTAGCTTCCTGTCATTCTTTTTCTAACAGCCTCCATACCATCCAGGTTCACTGACTTTATAAAGGGCTGTGGTTCCTGCCCTAGAACAGAATTTAGGAATTCAGTGGAAGTCCCTAAGCCCCGCATGTACTCTCTTGCTGTGCAGCCATAGTGCTGTGTGATCCTTTACAGAAGCAATGAGGTGTTTTGTGCAGACAGTCCCTTCTTTTCAAATTGAACATGTAGAGATATGATCTTTCCCTAGATGGATTACAGGGGCAGTGGGGATGATGGAATGAGTGATTATTTTTATTCCTAAATATATGTAATAACTGACCTATCAGTAAGTGTGAGCTCACCAGGCCAGCTCCACTTTGGAAACAGCTTTTCTTTTATATGCCAGTATTGTGTCAGGTAATTCAAGAACCAAGTTAATGGAAATAGTCTTTCAAATCACTTTTTTTTAGAAGTCAAGTTCTTATTTTAAAGACTGTTTAATGATTTTTCTGAAAATAAAATTGTCTGCAAAATACCTTAAAAGCACTTTTACTACTCTAAATGTGCATTAAATATATTGGCTCTAATAACTTCTTTAGCTATGTTTAACATAGGTTTTTTCATTTAGCCCCTATCAAGAGATTCTAACTAATATCCTTAAAGTTAAAAAAAAAAGAAAAGCTTACAGCATCGTTCTTCTTCACTTGACTAGAGGACTCTTATTTTAGCAGTCTTTTCTCATTTCATTCATTCTTCAACTTTGTTAAGTTGTATACCTGATCTGCATCAGATAGTGACAGTCAAGTTCAGGAATGAGCATGACACAGCTCTTGACCTCTATGAACTCACAGTCCAGTGAATTTATACTCCAATTTGTATCCTTTATTAACACCAAACACTTCTCCAAAGTATTTTGAATTGATAAGCAATAATTTAAAACTGAAGAGTGACATTCATATTTGAAATTACCATGAAAAGAATTTTAAAAGATAACTTGTACACTACATTTAGTATATAATAAAATGGCAGTGAGGGCAGGGATTATACTTTCCTCACTAACATCACTTGAGTCCATGCTAATTTAATCTCAACTTAATTTTGGTTTTGTTTCAGAACAAATCTACATCTTAGATTTGAATTACAGTGTTTAATTCATGGGGAATCTTTAAAAACTCTTATTAAATGTTTTGGTTAATGTTATAATTAAATTTTTATATTATTAAATTTCACATTTCTCAATCATATTTATCAATACTATTTTATCTTATAAATTGCATAGTGAAAAAATTTCTATTCATAGAGAAAAGGGATGAATGGCTGTGGAATTTTTAAGTCTATAAACCTTCATCTGAAAAATTTGAAAATAGGAACTACTAAGAGAATTTTATTGTCATTTTCAAGGTAACTAGAATTTAGGTTTCCAAATATATTTGAAAATATGTTCAAAGTTTGGAAGAGATTTTGTCAAAATATTGAAACGGTGCTGGCTATATGGGTACATCAAGGAAGTTATATATCATTAAGTACCAACAAATGTTAAACACAGCTCAATATTCATAATTCTACATATTGTTTTGGAATATATTGATTAAACATGTCACAGCTTCTTTGCTGATCTTTCTGCAAATATTCTACTTGGTAACACTATTTTTTTGACAGTTGTATTATTCCATATCCGGATCCAGTCCTTTATTTGCAGTTTTGACTCTTCAGAAGTTTAATATTTCTTTTATTCTATGAGCTTGCTGAATCAATGTAAATTGCATGCGTTGATAAGTTGCTTATAGCAGAGAAAGTACAAAGAGTTGAATACAACATATGTCTTTAAGTGCATAATTGCTCAAATTTAGAGAGGATGGCGTACTTCGGTCTTAGCCTCATTCTTCTTTGACTTTCATTTTTTTCTTTCATCTCAGTTTATAAATATATTTAAGTCTCAAATATCCTACACAATGGCCCCAACAACTTTCTTGACCCCACATCCTACTGTCCCAGTCCCTCCCTGCTGTTTCCCTTTGCCTCTATTCTCCCATCTACGATTTGCTTCTCAACTCACAGCAACCTAAATTCTAGTGACCTTGACAGTGACAAGTAAAATTCTCTAGTGGTTCTTGTTTTAGAAGATCTCTCTGCATTTCATACTGATGATCACTCCTTGTTCCTTGAAGTTTGTTTCTCATTTGGCCTCCGTGACACTGCAGCTAATTGATTTTATTCGATTATATTTTCCTCTGCTTCTGGCACAGAGAACTCACCTTACGTCCTATGCTATTGGATTTCCTTTGGTTTCCATCTACTGCCTCTGCTTTTCTCATTTTCTGTTTTCTTCTTCAGCCATCTATCCATGTACATGGTTTCAACTTTCTCCTATATTTCAAAACTGATCATTACACTTGTGCCCCCTTTCTCCCTTTAGCCACAGGTCATCTTTCTAACTGCTGAGGCACATTTTTACCTAGATGTAGGACAATCACACGAAACTCTAGGTATATAAAACTGAAATTTCAACCCTAACACACACAGGGAAAATACACACACAAGGAAACATGTTCCGTGTTCTGGATTCACTCATTAATGGTACCACTATTCTGAAAACTAAAGATATGAGTTATCTCTCACTCATTTGAGCCCTCCACTTCTATCATTAAATCAACTATCAACTTCTATTTGTTTTTTCTTATTTTCCCATACCTTTCAAGGCATTTCTTGAATCGGTCCCTTTGCCTTTCTCTATTCCAGTTAATATTTCCATAGTTTAGTCCATCATCTCTCACATGGATTAAAATAGTCTCCATGCCAAAGAATCTACCTGGCTTCCAGCTGACTAGCCGCTACAGGGGAAAGAGACCTACTTAAAATACAAATCTAACAATTTCACTACTGCTTTAAAATCCTACGGTAGTTTTCCATTAAGTTTGTTACAAAGCAAATAGTCCTCAAAATCTGGCTCCTGTCTAATGCTCCAGCTTCTTTTTCCTCTTCCTTTTTGCCTTACATTTTGCTCTCCAACCATTCAGCTATTTGAAGTTGTGCGTATACACTACACAGTTCTTAGATCTATGCTTTTGCTCCTGCTGTTTCTTACCCCTTAGAAATCACTGCTACCCCAGTCCCAGCTCTAAGCACCCTAAACTCCAGCTTCCTACCTCCTCCAGAAGGGTTACCATGACCTTCTGGAAATGGACTAGGTGTCCCCCCTACACACTCCCCTAAACCACTTTTTCACGTTTCTTATTACATTTATAACATTATTCAATACACATCTGTTTATGCATCTGTCTCCTTTATTAAATTGTGAGCTTACTGAGAATAGGAAAAGTGTTTAATTCATTTTTTTCTCCCTCCAGCTCCTAGAACAATAGAACACTTAGTAGTCAGGTAACATTTTTTTTTTTTTTAACAGATGAGGATCCTTTATTATTCATTTCTTCCCCACAAGTTGAATTTCACTTTCTGATATTTTTAATCTTTAAAGAGTTATTATAAAGACACAGATTGCAAACTTACCACAGCTTTTCACATTCTCACTTGGAAATAAGAAGTAGACTATTAATTTTACAAAATGGCAATACTGTATTAAAAAAGCATTTTGAAAATGATGTAATAGAAGTAATAGAAACGTAGAAAAAATAAGTTCCTAAGAATAGAATAAAAAGAAAACTATATAAGATTACTTGGGAGATTTTTAGTGGTTAATTTTCCATTTTTAGAAGTGGTTTTGATTATGGATTATGTATGGTACCAATTCAAAAATTCAGTGCTGTATACTCTAGTTATTTCCTATTTGATTTTTTTTAATGACTTTTGTCACGGATGTTTTTTGCATATTTCTGTGGGTTAAGATTTGTCTCTGCTGTTCAAAACAAATCCTCAAATTCTCAGCTAGTAGAAATGTTATAACAGATATTGATGAAACAGAGAGATAATGGCAATTGTTATTATAGATAAATTATATTAGTTCACCAATTTTTAGAGTTATCTAAAGATATAATGTATAGTCTGGCCTTATATCTGGATAGCTTTTTATGTTCGGCTTCCTTTTTAGTTTTGAAAATTCAGAATTTGGAGAAAATAAAATCTTCATTACCAGCCAAATTAGACAGTGACTATGGGAGAACTCTTGATAATGATTTGGAGCTATATGTCTTCGATGGGTAGAAAGGGAAAGAAAAACAATTAAAGTACACTGGAAGATGAATGAAATAATATTTCTATAACAGTTCAAAGTGAAATTTTAGGGACTGTACATGAGAATTCTATGTACTTATATAATTCCATTTAAATGTTAATCTCAGGGCTGGCTAATTAGCTCAGCTGGTTAGAGCATGGTGTTATAACGTCAGGGTCTAAGGGTTCGGATCCCTGTACTGGCCAGCCACACAAAAAAATGTTAATCTCAGTGGATTCCTTGTTTACCTAGCTCTCAATTTATTCATTTCCTTGAGGACTACTTATTTATTTGTTATTGTTTGAGTACAATATTATGGCAGTTTTAAAAACCTGTTTTTGTTTTTCTGTTATGGCACTGCTATTTTAAAAGAGAGCATCAAGATAAACTGCAGTATGGTGAAACCAGTTAATTTGCTTTTAAATAAATTCATGTTTAAAGATAAGTATGTTATAAAGACAGTCATAGCTAAGGACCAGAATAATTTGATTATGTAAAATATCCATGAGAATAGCATTAAAGCATGTTAACTCATTTTCTGCCAAAAGCAGTCTTTAATGAGCATTAAGCACTAGGTTATTATATTATATTGAATCGCTTATGTTTCCTTTTTTATTAATTTTTTTTTTACTTAAACCAAAGGCCTGTTAGAAGAACCCATGCACATGAAAACAATTATAGCCATTGAAATATCAAGTTATTAATGAAGATGTATAATCATGAATGAAGAAAATGAATTAAAAGTATTAGAAATGAGCTTTGTGTGTTTGGAAGTTATCCGCAGAACTAGGGTAAAATTTCCTCTGCTGTGGACTTGTTTCTTTGCATTCCACTTGCATAGTAATTGCAATTAATTTCTGTGTATGCGTCAAGAAATAATCTTCTTGCTGGCTTTATATTCATGGTGTTCCAAAAATTCTTTAGTAATTATAATTAAGAATTTGACAAATTGGTATTCATCTTACTGACTCTTTTAAAAATTGGCTAATTTTTCTTCTCTTGTATTTTTTTTTTAAATTTGCATCTTCTGCAGGTGCGTAGGCTCAAGTATTGAAGACTGCATCGGCCTGATGGATAGGTACTTGGTGTGCTTGCTTCCCATGTTCTTCCTCCGAGGCTCCCTGTGTGAGCACTGGTGCATGTGTGTGCATGTCACTGTGGATGGAGAATGATGTTTTCTGTTCTGTAATTGCCTGCAGGTGTAACGGTCCCACTAGTCATGACTGCATTTACTACCCATGGACGGGCCATTCCACTTTACCACAACATGCTAGGTAACATCTACCATGTTTCCATTTTATCACTCAAATCCTTTCCCAATTTTCATGGACAAAAAGTACTAACCAATTGGGTTAAACTTATAATATATTAAATTAGAGAGTTATGAAAGAGGCATAAAACACTTCCCTTTTCAAGGCACCTTTCTTACCTTTTTTTTTCCTTTATTCATTATGATTTCAGAGTCCTAATTAATGATGCCTTTAATTTTGCATAACATAAACAGGATTTTGAATTATTAATCCAGAAATTTAATAGAATATTTTTGTTCTTTATTCTGTAAGTGATTGCAAAAAGAAATATTTTTAAGGGAGGAATTTGCAAAAATTGATCTGTGCTTGAAAGATGTGTGTTATTTAATTTGATTCAGCTTCTGATTTCATATTATTTTGAATTGGTTGGTATATTCTCTAGGTACCAGAATTACTATAGACAAAAGGCAATATAAAAAATATTTTGTGCAGGTAAAAGCACAACTTGGAATTAAAACATTAAACATATTATTCTTGTTAACATGAAAACCTGTAAACAAATGTTTATAGTGGCTTTATTAGTAATCACCAGAAACTGGAAACTGCTCAAATGTTCTTCAGCTGTAACACTATTGAACAATAAAAAGGAACATGCTGCTGATATGCACACATGAAAACCTGTAAACAAATGTTTATAGTGGCTTTATTAGTAATCACCAGAAACTGGAAACTACTCAAATGTTCTTCAGCTGTAACACTATTGAACAATAAAAAGGAACATGCTGCTGATATGCATTATGTCAAATGCATTATGTTAAGTGAAAGAAGCCAGACTTAAATAGAATACATACTGTGTGATTCCATTTATATGACATTCTGCAAAAGGAAAAACTATAGGGACAGAAAATCAATCAGTGTTGCTAGGAGCTGGAGGTTGGGGGATGAGGTTGACTATATAAGGGCAGGAGGGAATTTGGGGGGATAATGGAACTCTTCTGTAGCTTGATTGTGGTGGTGGTCACACACATACATGTGCTTGTCAAAAATTATAGAACCGTACATTTTACTGTATATAAAAGGGTGAATTTTACATTGTATAAATTATACCTCAGGAAGCCTGACTTTTAAAACATTTCATAAAACATTTCCTAAATAGGACAATAATAACTTTACAATTTGTGTAGAAATAGTATTGGTTTTACTTATGAATCAAATTCATTGCATCTTTCTTGGAAGAGAGAAAGTAGTGGTAAAGTACAGATGGCCAAATGAGAATTTTGGATGAAGCATTGCCTTTTAATGTGAACTTTTGTATTGAAGTGTAATATACATAATGTAAAAGTAAACAAAACCTAAGTGTAAAGCTCAGTGAATATCCCAAAATGAAACATTTGTGTAACCATCAGCCAGATCAAGAAACAGAATAGTAACAAAATCCCAGAAGCCACCTTGTGCCTATTCCAAGGGTAACCACCGTCCTGAATTCTATGTAACCCATAGGTCAGGTTGCCTCTTTTTTCACTTTACATAAATTCAGTCATGCAGTTTGTACTCTATGCATCTGATTCTTTTGCAAAATATTGTACTTGTGAGATTCATCTGTGTCACTAAATTTAGTCATTGTTTTTTCATTCATATGATTTTATCTTTAAATATTTTTTAAATGATCAAATAAGTGATATGTCATCTTAATAAGTTGTTTTTAAATGAAATAAATAGAGCAATTAAAATTTCAAAAGAAAGTATGCTAGAGTGAATTGATTTATACAACAGTGGCACTTTGACACTTGGGCACAATCAAAACTAGTTAGGATAGTTGTTTAGAACAAGGTTAAAAGTATTAAAAAAATCAAAGAGAGATAGAAGAAAGAAGGATGGGGGAAACAGGGGAGAGAGAGAGAGAGAGAGAGAGAGAGAGAGAATAAAAATAAAAAATAAAAAAAGATGGGCCGGCCTGGTGGCGCACTCGGTAGAGTGCGGCGCTTGGGAGTGTGGTGGTGCTCCCGCCGAAGGTTCGGATCCCATATAGAGACCGGTCCGCTCACTGGTTGAGCGCAGTGCGGGCGTGACACCGAGGGTTGCGATCCCATTACCCGTCACGAAAAAAGACAAAAAGGAAAATAAATAAAATAAATAAATAAAATAAAATAAAAAAAGAGACAGCTTAAGACCTAATTTTAGTGATTTTTAAATAATTATTCCAGTGGACTAGTGAGAGGCAGTATAGTATGCTGATTAAGTGCGCTGTCTTTGGAATCAGATTTTCTGAGTTCCAAGCCAGGCTCTACCATTTTTTAAATGTGTGACCATAGGAGAGTTTTTAAAAATTATCTGAGCCTCATGTATAAAATGGGAATGTTAGTATAGTTCATAAATTGGTTGTGAAGATTGAATGTGTTCTTGGAACAGTTTCTGACTCATAAAAATCACTCAATAAATGTTATTATTTATTTTTCTCTATATATCAAGAATTCTCAAACCTCGGGGATGAGAGGACATGCCTGCTGGAGGGGGAGGGAAGTCTCCAAAGTCACCCAGGGAGCTTTAATAGGTATCTCTACTCCCTCTGATGGGCTCCTTGAAGGAAGAGAACACATTTCTCTCTCTTGCCCTTGAGAATCACTGTCATAATAAGGGCGACTGGTGCTGATGGCAGTAGATATGCAGAGGCTGGTACGCAGAGGGAAAGGTTAAAACCACAATAATAGATTACTCATGATTTGTAATGCTTGTAATTGAAGATGTGTAACTCAAAATCATAGTGTATTGTATTCGAGATTTACTATATTCAAAATTTAACGAAAACAGTTTGAAATTACCATTTCTATTATCTGCCTGGATTCCTAGTCCATACCCTGTAATCTCAGACCAATAGTTGTATGCCAAATTCAGATTAGCCTTGTCAAAAATACATGACTCTGGCCAGTAACAACAGGTAGATAGTACAATATATCCCAATCTTCCTAAGAAAAATCACCTGTAGCTCATTGTACAGGTACAGAGCAGGGGTTCTTGAAAGTGAAAGCCTGGGTTCAAATATTGGCTCTACCATTTTTTTTAATCTATAAAATGGGGATGACAATGGCAATTTTTAAAATGAGAATTCTTATACCTCACAAGATTGGTATGAGGATTAAATGAGATTATGCACAGGAGCCATCATATAGTATATGTTCACTGGTGTTAGTTACTATTCGAGTTGAAATATTGGAATAATAATTTCTTTGAAAATCTCATGAAATTGTGATCTATTTGTATTTTACATATAAGTAAGCATTAATCTAATAGTTTGGTGACTATGGGACTGACAAATCAAAATTTCTCAGGTTTTAAGCATTTGAATTTGATATCAAATTTCTAAGTGCAGTGATGTGGAAAAATTGGTAGCAGGTAACTAATTGTTCCTTTTAGAAAACACTAACTTTCTTTTCTTAATACTTGCTTTGAACTTAAATTTAAAGCAATGGGACTCTGTTCTTCAATTGTATTGACTTGTCAGAATTAATTGACTTGAGGGGCTGTTTATAAAACAGTTTGGAATTTACATGAAGGATTTAGCCTGAATGCTTTGGAAAAGTGTTTATGACCATGGAGCATTTTGACACAGATTGAATGAGAAATAACAATAATAGGTATCTCTTCTTTCAGATACTTAATATTGAATTAAATGCTTATTTACCTCTCTGAGATAGGGTGGGCATACCTTTAACTGAAAGTAGGGAAGTAGTAAAGTTTCAAGTCATTTTCATATTTAAATTTCATGATAGTTTTTTTAATTTTTATCTTAATTGCTTAAAGTGAATCTTACATAATAGAAAGACAAAAATGCAATTGAAACACATATGTGAAGTTTCATAAATCAAGTTTTAACTGGGAGATTTATTTTTATCTTAATTGCTTAAAGTGAATCTTACATAATAGAAGGACAAAAATGCAATTGAAACACATATGTGAAGTTTCATAAATCAAGTTTTAACTGGGAGATTATCCAAATACCTAACTTTTTTTAGTCACAGAAAATTGCATTGAGCATGTCCATGTGGGCAGTTTGAAATATTTGGAGTTCATACTCCCTACTGTCCTGTTATGCTGTATTCTGTTTTCTAAATCAGCAGGAAAAAAGATGGAAGATTTAAATGAAAACAGGTGAAATGTTTCCAATCTTGATCGACTTTCATTTTCTAAGCAGTGTTATTCTTTCTCAAGCCTGCAATTTGTGAATTGGTTTTCCACACTCCATTTACCTTACAGGCTGCTGCTGGAATTTCTTCCAGGAAGAGTGGATAGAATAGAATAGGATCTTTTCCATTTTTTAACCTTTAGTACCCGAGAGTATGCTACTTATAGTGAAAATAATACTTGATATTTTAGAATTTATCTGTAGTTTCCTGAATGAATTAAATGCCTTGAAAATAGAATCTTCTTTTTATGATTTTCTTTTTACATCAAGAATCCTATGAAAAAATATGTTCAGCAAGTTCATTATTTTTTGTATGTTATTTATTCTAGCTTGCATTTATGCTATTTTCATATAGATTCTAGTAGTTTCTACTCTGCTTTAAACTCTTTATCAAATATATATCCAAAATTTTAAAAAATAGTAAACTCTTATTCCATTAGGGCTAAATTGTTAATCACAATAAGCAAAGGATCTATTGGTAAAACACCTATTTATGTTAGTTAACAGTCTGAAATATAAATTGATTAATAATTCTTTTTGAATTTGTGAGAGATATTATTAAAACTTCCAAATATCTGCTCAGGCATTTTTATCTGGCTATTTGTTCCAATTAAATTATTCTAGGTGCTTCACAATATGAAATAAAGT